AGGAGTTTTGGGAGAATGTAAGAGAAGTTCTAGATTTGGCTAGGGGAAACGAAAGAATTGTAGTATGTGGTGATTTGAATGGATGGGTTGGTACCACTCGACCAGGGTACGAGTCGGTACTTGGAAAGTTTGGCGATAAAAGGGTTAATGATGCTGGCAAGCTTATACTGGCGGTATGTAAGGAAAAGGGTCTTCTTGTGACAAACACTATGTTTAATCACAAGAAAATCCATATGTATACTAGACAAAGAAAGAATGAGAGAAGTATGATCGATTTGTTCCTGGTGGATGACCGACTGCGAAAACAGGTTATGGATACGCGAGTGTTCAGGGGTGCTGACCTGGGAACGGATCACTATCTAGTGATTACTAGATTTAGGGGTCTGTTCGCGGGTTGGCGATACCAGACGGCAGTGACAGAACCACAGTCGGTCTGTCGCATCCTAAGCTGGAAGCTTCAGGAAGCGGATACTAGGGACAAATATCATGCGAGGGTAGCCGAAAAGCTTGACACCATCGATGGCAGAAACGAATGTGTAGAAAGAACATGGTAGAACCTTAGGGATGGAATGGTAAGTGCAGCGGAAGAAGTGTGTGGAACAATAAAAAGAGGCAGTAGTAAAAGAGGAGATGCATGGTGGAATGATGAAGTGAAAGAAGCTGTAAAGAAGAAGAAGAAAGCATGGTTAGACTACTTGGCCTCTAGTAATGATAAGGATATAAGAGAGAAGATGAAAGAAAGATATAGGCTGCAGAAAGTTCACACGAAAGCATTGATTGAGGAAGTGCGTGAAAGGTGTAGAATGGAAGCGGACGAAAGGTTGTCGCACAACTTTAAGGAGAACTCCAAACTCTTCTGGAAAGAAGTTGGAAGGACCCGAAGTGGTGCGACGGCCTTAAGAATGAACAAAGTGCTTTCGAGAACTAATGACGTCCTCTCAGAAAAATCGGACGTCATGCAGCGATGGAGCGAATTTTATAGAGAAATGTATGCGTGTGATGATTTTAGTGAGGGATCCGGGGATGACGCCGTGACTGGTACGCCAGACCCGGACCTCGATGACACTGAGGTCATCAGTATGAAAGAGATTGAACGTGCGATTCGAAGTTTGAAATGTGGTAAGGCTGCGGGACTAGACAGAGTTACTGCTGAAATGGTCAAGTATGGTGGGCCTCGCGTCTGGGACAGCTTTCATCTGCTGTGCAATTTGTGCTTGCGGACGGGGGATGTCCCGGATGATTGGCGATCCGCAGTCATTGTGCCTTTATATAAAGGTAAAGGTTCTCATTTTGACTGCGGGTGCTATCGGGCGATCAGCTTGAGCAGTTTAGCAAGTAAAGTTTACTCGAAGGTTTTGACACGTAGGATGCAAGAGAAATCGGAAAGATTTCTATGGGAGGCACAATGCGGATTTAGACCTGGAAGAGGATGCACGGATCAGATGTTTTCTCTCCGCATGATCACGGAGAAGCTTCTGGCTGCTAACCAGAAGATTTTCTGTGCTTTTGTGGATCTTGAGAAAGCATTTGATAAGGTTGTAAGGAAGAAAATGTGGGAACTGTTGCCGGGGTATGGTGTGGATGGTCGATTGCTAAGGGCTGTGCAGTCTCTTTACTGTGACTGTGAAGCCTGTGTGCGGGTAGGGCATGACCTGTCACCCATGTGTAGCGTCCAAACTGGCGTAAAACAGGGTTGTGTCATGTCTTCCTGGCTGTTCATACTGTATCTCGACAGCTGTTTACATAAGCTGTTTGAGTGTGAAATTGGGTGACATAAAAGTAAATTGTCTGCTGTATGCTGATGATGCAGTGCTTATTGCACCATCAGAGGCAGAACTGCAGGCATTAGTCACGTGTATGAAAGAGGAATGTGAAATTAAAGGTCTCCGTTTGAACACTAATAAAACTAAGGTTCTGGTATTTGAAAGGGACGAAGAGAGAACGAAGTGTGAAATATGGGTAAATCAGGAATGTCTAGAACAAGTAAATGAAATTGTATACTTGGGGAGTGCTTTTAGCCGGGATGGAAGATGTGATTTAGATTTGGACAGGCGTGTCGCTGCCGGGAACAAAGTCAATGGTGCCCTGACTGCGTTAGTCAAAAGGCAAGGCGTAGTGAAGAGTGCACGCCTTGCAATACATAACGCAGTGTTGGTACCGACTTTGTTATACGGCAGCGAAACCTGGGTATGCCAGAAGAAGCATAAAAGCAAGTTGAATGCAGTGGAGATGCGATCTCTTCGTAAAATGTGCGGCGTTACCATGGCCGACCGAAAGCGAAACGAAGAGATTCGCAATATGGCAGGTTTGAAAGATGACCTTATCACAAAAATTGATAAGGGCGTGCTTCGGTGGTTTGGGCACGTTGAGCGAATGAGTAAAGACCGAATGGTGAAGAAAATATATAGCGCGAAAGTTAATATTAAAAGGTGTCGAGGTAGACCGAGACTAACTTTCGAAGACCATGTGAGCAAATTGCTCGAAGAGGGGAGGGTCAAGAGTACTCGGATACCTAGACGTGCATGTATGAAGAAGATAATGAATCTGAAAGAACCGAAAGAGGTATGTAATGATCGTGACACTTGGCGATCTGTTCTCTCTGGCTACCCCATCAGGGATTGTGCGTGAAGATAAGTAATTTAATATTATACAAATGTAAAAGTAAAGTCGATCTGAAAACGTCTAATTAGTAAGATAGCAAAACAAGTGTTTTCAAAAGGAAAAAACGCCGGCGCTATACGGCAGCGGATTGACAAAAGACTATTTATTAGCGAACTTTTTTTATGCGAGAACGGTTTCGAACTGTTTCAAGCTAAAATAAACCTTATACCATATCACAAGAGCACATGGCACTTAGTAGGTCTATTCGGCCATATGATAGTAATAAGACGGCAGTTCAACCATTTTAAGCAAAATTAAACAATAAGACAAACGCATTGTTTTCTTTTAACAGGAGACTTGTTTTCCAGAAATTTATTTACAACTTGAGTTTGTGAGTGATCGCAATGAGTGCTATTATTTGTTACTTATTAGACTATTTTTCCACAACGTGATTTAAAACCGTAAGTCAAGTAAAAAGAGAACCATGTACAAGTTAAAAAAAGGTTGTCAAACCCTAAAAATTTCAAATTTTCAAAATATCCAGAAACGAAGCTGCAGGCATGAACTACTTGCAAAATAATGAATATTTTGTTCTGGATAAATCTTCCAAAAAAGTAATTTGAGCGAGTTATAACGATTTTTAAAAAGACACGACTTGCGTGTCATACGCCACACACAAAAATAATCGATGGCACGCCTGGCGTGTCACTCGCACTGAACCGGTTAAGGATATCTCCAAAATACTGGTCAGATCTTGATCAAATTTATATGGGATATATAAATTATAAGCAACAGCTTTCAAATAAAAAAAGAATCTTCAAAATCGGTTAACCTAGGATAGAGTTCTGAGGTAATACACATAAATAATAATAATAATAATAAGGCGTAGGGAAGTGACGACCCCATCGCCCGCTGACGTAACGGTTATGTGACAAAACTGCTACGTCAGCGCAGTCAGTCAGCACCTTGCCAAGAGGTATTAGCGCCGTGCCTCGGCAAAATTGGAGGTGCAAAGGCCCGATTGTGCACATGGCCTCACCATGAAACGGTGCCGGGTCTGGGCGTCTCCCGTTAACTGACGCCCAATTCATGGATGATGGTTTTAAGAAACACGCGCAAAGGGCCGCTGCCTGGAGGTCACCAGGGCGCGTCTGGAGCTGGCGCTGGACGCGGCAGCATGCGAACCGCCAGTCGACCGCGAGGTGCTGCACGATCACCCAGCAACCCCTCGCATCCATTATCCCCACCAGCTGGCTTGGTGTTGGCAGGGTCTTCGTTGGCCCAGCAATCAGCACCCGCCACTGGTGGAGTACGCCGCATGCGTTGGTCAATGCAAATTAATAAAAATGCATTGATGATCTTTTGGGGCGAAAGGGAGAGAAATTGGAGGTTTTGGGTATCGGGCTAGGATGCACCGACTATTTGCTGAGCTGGAGCCATCTATTACCGTTACCGAGCAAAACCTGGCAGACCGAGTTCGGTACATCATGCGCTCAAAAATATTTGATGACGCCGAACTCGAACGGCTACGACGTGAGGCTATTCCTTTGTCGACTGAAAATGCTACGACAGGAGATGCGGCTCTACGAGTTGCAGAGCAACCCGCACATGTAGATGCCGCCATAGATCTCCTTGTAGTTGACTCAGGCGACGATGGAATAGTCGCCCCAGAACTAGAGCAAATGAGGAGCATAGTGGAAGAGGCGATTAGGGAAACGCGCAGTACGCCTCTCGAGAATCGACCGCGACTTCCCCGTATACCCCTAAGCAAGCGGAATCGGGCTGTCGTGAAGGCTCTCAACCCAATGCTGGTGACCTATTTGGAAGCCAGCCGGGACCTTTGCGAGACGGACTCAATTCTTTTTGGCGCCGCACTGGCAGTTTGCCGTATTATTGGCGCCAAGCTTCCCAAGGCTGGACGCGCTACTAGACAAAGTAGCGCCATCCCAGCCTGGAGAAGAAGGATTGAGGACCGTATCGCAAAGGCAAGGGCCCTCATCGGCAGGCTGATAAGCTTCAGGTCGGGCAATAATAGGCCGAGAATTGTGCGCACCATCAGGATGGCGTTTGCTGGGACAAATATCAGTTTGTCCCAGCCGGATATAACGCAAAAACTGACGGAGCGCATAGACGACCTTAAGCAGAGAATCGCTGCTTGGGGGAAGCGGATTCGGCGATATACCGAGAGGTCGACACGGTTCAACCAGAATCGTCTCTTCCAGAGTGATCAGAAGAGGCTCTATGAATCATTGCAGCGACCAATGGTACGTGGAACGGGCCCAGCACCGAATCAGGCCGACACTATCGCATTCTGGCGCGGCCTGTGGTCAGAGCCCGTAAACCACAGTGAGGGCCTTTGGACGGAAGTTGTGGCGGGTCAGTGTGCGAATGTTACGCACATGGACCCCGTCATCATTACGCCGGATGACGTAGCTGAGGCGGTCCGTAGGGCCCCGAACTGGAAAAGTCCGGGACTCGACGGACTGCATCACTACTGGCTGAAGGGGTTCGTGGTGTGTCACGCTGTTCTCGCCCGACAGTTTCAAGAGGCTCTCGACCAAAAGTCGCTCCCGAGCCTCTTCACTACTGGGATCACTCATTTGGTTCCTAAAGACCGAGATTCCACAGACCCGAGCAAATACCGCCCCATAACGTGTCTACCTACCATATACAAGACACTGACATCCATTTTGAGCGCGAGAATCACTCGTCACCTGAACTCAAATCAGGTGATGTCGCGCGCTCAAAATGGATGTCGGGGCGGCGGTCGTGGAACCAAGGAACCACTCCTCATTGACGCGGTCATTGGCAAGGTGGTTAAACGCAACCGTCGGAACCTCTCCGCCGCCTGGATAGACTACAAAAAGGCATTCGACTCAGTGCCTCATACATGGCTGAAGAGGGTCCTCGAGCTGTACAAGGTTGACTGTACATTTCGAGACTTCCTCGGGCAGTGTATGGGGCAGTGGAGTACGATCCTTTGTCATCTAGGCGAGCGGATGACGGCTGCGGAGAACCACATAAGGATAAGAAGGGGTATCTTCCAGGGCGATTGTCTGAGTCCAATCTGGTTCTGCCTCTCTCTGAACCCTCTTAGTACCTTACTGGAGGTTTCCGGGAGGGGATTTCAGCTTCGGAGAGGAGGTACAAAAGTGACCCACCTTTTCTATATGGATGATCTCAAGTTATTCGCATCCAGTCGCGCTCATCTTATGGAATTGCTAAACATCACTTGTGATTTTAGCAATTCTATTAGAATGGAGCTGGAGACGGATAAGTGTGCGGTCCTCCATGTCGAAAGGGGTAGGGTTGCTAACTCTGAGGGCATAGACTTATCTATGCCCATCAACATAAAGACCCTATCCGAGGTTGAAACATACCGATACCTGGGTATGTCACAGAACATAGGTATCGATAAGGCGGACATGAAACGGTCAGTTTGCGGTGTGTTTTATGCACGCTTGACAAAAGTGCTTAACAGTCTTTTGTCATTGTTCTCATGTATACCTTTGGCATGCTCAGGTGGACTCAGACCGAACTGAACGCTCTGGACAGAAAAGTCCGCACTATAATGACGTCCCACAGGATGCATCATTCGAGATCGTCAGTAATGAGGCTGTACTTGCCGCGGAAGCATGGTGGGCGCGGCTTTTTAAGCGCGCTTACCATGCATAATCGCGAAGTGTGCAGCCTCCGTAAATACTTTCTGACGAGAGCGGATGATCCATTCTATAGGGACGTTATTTCTTGTGATAAAGGACTTACCCCTCTATCCTTAGCCAACGAGCAATGGCAAGACCCGGCAGTACAGAGCATTTCCGACCGGGAGACCGTATGGAAGGAGAAGGAGCTCCACAGGAGGTTCTACAAGGCTCTACATGAGCCTTGCATAGACACAGTCGCCTCCCTCCACTGGCTACGTTTCGGTGACCTCTTTGGGGAAATCGAGGGTTTTGTCTGTGCGATACAGGATCAGGTTATTAAGACCAACAATTATCGGAAATACATCCTAAAGGATGGCGCCGTCGACATCTGTCGAGCTTGTCGCCATCCCGGTGAGTCACTTAGGCATGTCATCTCCGGTTGTTCGGCGCTTTCTAACTCTGAGTATTTGCACAGACACAACCTAGTAGCCAGGATTCTACACCAGGAGCTCGCTCTGAAATACGGTCTCGTGGATCGGAAACTGCCATATTATAATTACTTGCCGGAAGCCGTGCTCGAAAATGACCGCGCCAGGCTCTACTGGGACCGGGCCATCATCACGGACAGGACTATTCTTGCGAATAAGCCTGATATTGTGCTGATGGACCGGGCACAGTCAAGGATATTTTTGGTCGACATTACCATTCCTTATGACGAGAACCTCGTGAAAGCCGAAACAGATAAGTTGACAAAATATCTGGACCTGGCTCACGAGGTGACCGACATGTGGGGTGGTCTGCCGGCCGAAATTATTCCTGTGGTCGTCTCTGCGAACGGATTAATCCCAGTCAGCCTCTCGGGTCATCTGAGGCGACTGGGACTCCGTGGCGGATCGCTCCAAGCTCAAATGCAGAAGGCGGTGCTCCTCGATACTGCCCGCATCGTCCGCCGGTTTCTTTCCCTTTCCCCCTAACCCTCGGCCGTTTGGTCTCCCCTGCCGAGGGCTTCCATCTGGTTGGGTTTTTTATATATTTATGTAATTTTTATGTATTTATTTTATTTTATTGATATTTATGTAAGTCTATCATTTTCATTTACAATTATATATTTATACAGCCCAACCAGATGAGAAAACTATTCAAATACCCCATACATATAATAATAATACAGTCGAATTGAGTACTTTTTTTGAAGACTGTAAATTATCTGAGTTTCAAAGACGTTCACGTTGTTGTAATCTTAATTTTTCTCGATGTTGCATATGAACCTTCCTCACATTGAACAAAAGTTTTTTTTTTTTTTTAACTATAGCTTACTACTACTTTTCTGCAGTACCCTTCTTTCTAGCATTTAACTACTGTTTTAATGATACTGTTTTTTTTATTTTTTTATTTTTTTTTTATTTTTTTTTATTTTATTGTTCCGTACTGCTTACAGTTTGGTTTATCATTGGTACACTTATTGTTATATTTCTAAATTTTTAGCTACATATTACTCAATACTTCTTATCTTATACATTACTTCACTCAGTACACTTACTGTTGTATAATATTCTTACTGAAATTTCTGACATACGTTACAATTACATTAATATATTCTAGAATTGCTAGGTATATTTTTTTTTCTGCTTTGCATACATGTTTTTTTTTTCATTATACACATTACTTTTATTAACTATGTTAATAATCTTAAAGCTTTACATTACTTAGGATTTCTTACTATTATGTTATTTCTGTTTTTACATCTAATTTTTGTGTATCCTTACTTAAGTAGATTATTCTAGAATATCCTTAAGTATATATTTTTTTTTAATTTTTTTTATATTTTCTATATCTAATTTTTTTTTCTTTATCTTTTTTTTCTGTTTTTTTTTTATTCTTTTTTTTATTATATTTTTTTTTTCTTTATCGCTTTTTTACAATATACTCTTTATACATATTATATTTACTAACTAAATTAATAATGTTTTAAAACTTTTCATTACTTAAGATTTCTTACTCTAGCATTTCTACTTTCTTAACACTTGTTATTTGTAGTTACAGATTTTTGATTAAAGTACGTGTATTTAACAAGTACTAAGTAAATAGTTTTTTTTTTCTTTTTTGGAATTCATTACATGTACCGTACTCTAACATTTGCTTACTCTACCATTATACTTCCATTTTCCTTACTTATAATTCTTAATGCTTGAAGAGCAAATGTCATAAAGATAGGTCGGCAAGTGCTATCGTCGATTATAATGTTTAGATTGTCTTTTGCAATGGTCATTCCCATGCTGCATTCAGCTTCAAATCTTCTTTACTGAATCGCGGGCAGTCAATTATAATGTGCTCTACAGTTTGGTTTACGTTTTCATCGCAAGTGCAGCACGGGGATGATGCCAATTTATATTTATACAGGTAAGCATTGTTACCGCCATGCCCAGTAAACAGGTGTGTGACTAAATTATTCATTTTTATATTTTTTATTACTTTATAAGCTACTAAAACATTGGGAAAGAAAGTCTTGGTTATGGTGCTGGTTGTCGATTCTTCATATTTTCTTTGCCAAATTTGTAGGGTTGCGTTTCTAGTGAGGCGCTTTGCATACGACAGTGGGAATTTATCATATTCCGGTATTTGCTTGCTTCTAGTAGCAGCTCGTTTGGCTAGTTCGTCTGCTCTTTCGTTGCCCTGAATTCCACAGTGGGCCTTAATCCAGTACAGTAAGATTTTCTTTTGGTTGTCTTCAATGTCTTTTATCATGTTACGAATTTTAAAAGCAATTGGGTTCAATGAGCTTGGATCACATATGCTTATAACAGCTGATCTTGAATCAGTAAAGATATTTGCTCCTTGGTAATCTCTGTCAGCAACGTACTTTACAGCTTTTAAAATTGCAATCATCTCTGCTTGGAAGACACTACAATAGCTTTCTAGTTTGAAGGTTATTGTCTTAATTTCCACTCCATTTTTCCAGATCGTTACTGCTGCGCCTACCTTTGTGTCGATTTTACTTCCATCAGTGAAGATTTTGACCCAGTCGTTACTTACGTCATCAATTTCCTTCTGTTCACTTACTAGGCCAAAACTGCACTGCGACCTCTCGCATGGATGGGGCAGATCGTAAGGGCTTATTAGTTTTTCTAGTTGTCTTCCAGGTAAGAAATCGACGGGCTTTCCTTTCTTGATCTCGTATATGTTTGCGTTCTCTTTAGCCCTTAGTGCTAATGGTATTATTTGGGACAGAATAGTGCTGGAGATCAGGGAGTTAGTTCTATGCCCTTTGCAGATACGTATACCAAATATTTGGGTCATTCTATTAAGTATTTTTTCGATATACTTTTTTTCGGTTGTCTCCGCCCAACAGCTAGCAGCATATAGTATTGTCGGTTCGACCACAGCTGAATAGATGGTTTTTATGATTTCAGAATTTAATCCCCAATGGGCTTTTGCCGCCCTGGAAACCATTTTGTAGATGTTGATTGCTTTTCGGCAGACGCTATCAAGGTGAGCCTTAAAATTTACATTATTATCAATTGTTAGGCCTAGAACTTTCATTTGATTTGTGTACTGTAATGTAAGTCCTTCAATGTGTAAACAAGGTCGGTGGTATTTCAATTTTTTTGTTATGATTATGGACTGGGTTTTTTGGGGAGCAAATCTTAGTTTATGTTTTTTGCCCCATTCCGTGATTATTCTTAGTGTTTCATTTATGTCTTTTTCTAGTTTTTGGCCATCCTTGTTTTTGGCTACGATCAGAATGTCATCAGCAAAAGCTTGTACGTGGGCATCTAGGTCCTTAGTTGCGTTAAGTAAGGGGTCGATAAGGATGTTCCAGAGCATAGGGCCGCAAGTAGAGCCCTGGATACATCCTTTATTTGTGGGTTTCCTGCATTCTTGCCCAGCATACCTAAGATGTATTTTTCTTTCGGATAAGTAACTGCTAATGAGCCTGACCATAGATTTGTCTACATTTTTGGCGTGGAGTTCTTTAATTATGGCAGGCCACCATGCGTTATCGAACGCACCTTCTATATCTAACGATATTAGTACCACTATAGCTTTATTCTTAAGTCCTTTCTTTATAAGTGTAGTTGTATCAAATAGGGCATCCTCAGTACTTCTTTGGGGAGTGAAACCGTATTGTCTATTGTTAATTTTACCTTCCCTTCCTAGTTGCCACTGGACTCTATTTACAAAAAGTTTCTCTAGAACCTTACCTAAAACTGGTAATAACCCTTTTGGCCTATAGGATTTTGCCAGGGAGTAGTCTTCCTTGTTAGGCTTGGGAATAACCTTAATTGTTGCTGTTTTCCATATTTCTGGGAAGTAGCCTAGTGTTAAGCATTTATTGTAAATGGATTGCAGGATTTCCGGGTTGCTTTCAAACGCAGCTTGGCATATATCTGATGTTAAGCCATCTTCTCCAGGAGCTTTCTTCGGACTCATATTCTTAAATATTTCTCTTATTTCAAGTTTTTAAGTTTGCTTATTATTTGCTGTCTTTCTATTCTTATTTCAGTCTGCTGTACACTATCAGTGTCAGGGTTGTCCCATGGATAAAATGTATCAGCTAGATGGTTCGCTGATTCGACTTCTGAAAGGATTTTTCCATCTGAGTCACGGAGTAGTCTGTCCTGTTCTCTATTTGAGCAAGTTTTTAGGATCCGGTATGTTCTTTGCCAGAGAGACTCTTTTTCTTCTTTGTTGCAGAGATTTTTCCAGCTTTGAGTTGTAGCCTTTTCAATTGCATTAGTATATTCTTGTCTTGCATCTAAATATTGGTCTATTACATGTTTTCTTCTTAGAGGGTTTGCATTCCTTATTCTTCTTCTTTTCCTAATCATATCTGCTTTCTTTTCATTTATTTCGTTGTTCCACCATACAGGATCTTTTACTTTTCGCTTCCGTTTTTT